TGTTGCCCATGAGCTGGCCGCCTCGCCATGAGCCCTCCCAGCGTCGTCTGTCGGCTCCAATTTGCACAATCAACACGAAGCAACACTTTTCCGAAGGAAATCGCACATGACTTCTAGTCAGTAAATTATTTGATCCTTGAAGCCCAGAACCTTGATAGAACCGCTGAGGAAGCCGAGCATTCTGCTGCCCTGGCTGCCACTCTGGAAGATTGGGTGCGAGTCAGGGAGGGGCGGGGGGCTTTATCTGTGGTAATCCTTATGGAGTTTAAGGGGTTTTGCCCTTCAACCGCATGGCCTTATGAACATTTTTCTTACAGGGTTTTGCTCAAGGGTCCTTATTCATGGCCTTCAACCCATGCCGGCCCAGTCACCGCCAGAACTCTTCTGAGCCGTAAACATCCACAAAAGCTTCGAACTTGGTGGTATCTCACGTCACGGTGCAGGGTTAATTGATGGGTTTAGGTATTAGGGATTCGGGGTATATTATAGCACGTAGGGGTCTGTATATTCTGTACATCATGGAGTCCTGTTTTGTCACATCACAGTCGCGGAAGAAACATGTACCAGACCTCATAACGGATTCAGGGCTTAGTTTAGGGGTTAAGTTGTCGGGCTTACCACTTATGGCTACACTTGAGTCCAGTAGCAATCTGAGGAATTTTTTGTTGGGGGGTTTGGGTGCCCGTATGCATTACGGTGCTTGTTGAACGGGGTTCCCTACGTCCTTACATCGTGAATGCCCGAGAGTTTGAATCCCGGAGCGACATGCAAAGACAGGGTTTCGATTTTCGATGTTTCAGTTCTGGTGGTGAGCAGACCCAGGCCCTGAGACGGCAGATGGCTCCTTGATTGCATCCGTTCGGTGTTCAGCTGTCCCGGCAACCCACTTACACACCAAATCTTATACCTGGTAAGCATAGCAGCAGGAGGACACCTGCGAGGAGTAGCAACCGTGACAGGAATGGATGGCGGCTAGTGGCAGCAACCGTGACAGGAGGTCGTCGTCGTAGTAATAGTAGGAGCAGCAGCAGCCGCAGCTCAAGTTATGCCAGCTGTGTTAAGGAATTTCAGCAACAGTTCAAGTCGTCATGGCAACGAGCAGCACCAGTAGCAAATGGCAGTTGCCATCGAAAGATGCACAGCAAGCACAGGAGTGGCGACGATCGTGCTACAAGGTATGACCACCACCATGGCAGTAGTATACGCCGGCCGAGACTGCGGTCACAAGCATGTGCAGTACACCAGAAGCGGTTGTCTCTTCCATCACAACGGCCATGGCAATCTTCACACGTGGCATGCACAGAGTCACCGCAACTCCCTGAAAGCTGCAGCCACAATGTACTACACACCGCTCATCCCTCCATAGACGACCCCACGCTTAAGCCAGGATCCGGTCCACCAGAACCCGGAACCCCTAAACGAACCCCGCACAATTTCCTCTGTGCACAATCTCCGTTTGAGTTTAAATGATCTTTCAATAGTGTGATGGAATATAGTCATCCACCCTGAAACGTAGGTTTCACCCTCCAACCGACTGCGCACCAACAACCTCGCCGGGCCAGTCCGAGTGTGAGCGCCGGAACGCAGTTTAGCAGTTGTGAAGCCTCACTGGGATAATACAGGGATATAGGGGCCTTTACAATAACATACTGTTTGGGGTGTTCCTGAACCCCGAATCCGAAACCTAAACCTTCAACACCAGACCCCAGGCCCTGAACCCTAAACTCGTAACCCCCTAAGGAGGAAGCGCAGAGGGCCGCCGAAGCACATCTCAGAGATGTGAACTGGACCCACGCCTGCGAGGCTGCAGCATTGGTTAGGGGAGGTTTTAGGGTTTAGGCTGCTAGCCACCAGCTTGGAGCCATGACAGAGAGTGAGCACCTTATTCTCACAAGATGAGGACTTTTTGTTAGAAGTGGCCAAACGCAAAGCCAGACCCCTAACCCCCTGAAGCCCTGAAGCCCTAAACCCCTAAACCCTACCAGAGCGATTGTGGTCATCGTCGTGGGATTCGTTCTGGCAGTAATGTGCTTATGTCACAAGTGCCAGCGGATACTGTTCCATGGAATGTGAGTCCCTGGGCCCGGTTTCGTACACTGCAGTGCATGTCGTCGGTTGCATCAACTCTGCCTGTGCGACACATCGGGTGCAGGAGGCAAAGGCTGCGCCAGACTTCTCTTGAAATTCCCTGCTTCAGACAACAGTCCCGAGCCCCCATGGTCGTCATCCGCGTCATGGTCATGATTTGTCGTCCGTCTCGTCAACCGTCGGCATCACCACGAGTCATTGCTGTGCAGCGGGGAAAAAACAGCACGGCTCCATCGCACAAAGAGACGCCCCAAAGCCCAAAACCCCAATCCACTTTGCCACCCCGCCAGCCCTCAAACCAAAAGCCTACATAAATCCTCGCTCAAACCTCTCACATCATCTCTGAGAGAGGCCGGGCCGTGAGAGGATTTAACCCTCAAGCTCCCAGCTTTTAGTATTGCTTAAGAAGATCTCAGGCTGGGCATATCCGAAATCCCAAGGATGCCCCTTAAAACGAAACTAACGCTTCGACTCGGTGCATGTGGGGAGAGTCCCAGCCCAAGCGAGTGGCCAGGTGGAAGCGCTGCGGCAGCTCCACAAGGACACGCCAGAGAGTCCCCAAAAAGGGACTGCTAGCGTAGTACGATATACTGTATTTTACTGAAAACCATCCTACCACGTACTGCGTACTACACACTACCTCGCGCTGCGCTGCCTTCACTGCATTGCACTGCACTGCGTTATGCCGTGCTGTATTATGCTACTGCTATACTTCACTTTGCCGTAAGATCTGTCAGTGTCGGCTCCACCGCGTGGTGCTCTTCTATCCTATGCAATGCCATGCTATATAACACTGTACGATACTATGCTATACTATAATACTATACTACACTACACCATACCGTACCTTACCCCCGGAAACGTTATTCTTAGTTTTGTGGCGCCCTTACAGCCAGAGCCTCGAGGCAGAGCTCCGGGCGATGATGGAGCGGAAGGCCCCGGCTGAGCTTAGGGTTTAGGGTTTAGGGTTAGCAGGGGCTCGGAGTTCGGGACTTGATGTTTATCTTTCTTTAGGGGTTTAGGGGTTTGGGGGTTGTAGGTCTGTAGGTTCAGGGTTTATATGGGGATCCGGTCGTTATAGGCTTCTGTTCCTTTATCTTTAGGGGTTTGCATGTGCTTATCGCTTCTTCACTGGCTCTGTGCCGTGCCGTGTGCTTCTACACATGATCACGAAGTATATAGTTGCTCTACAGCAGCAGTTTGCAATGGGCTGCTTAGTAACCAAGCATCCAAGGTTGTCGCTTGCAGAAGCCGCTCTGTTTTGTCTCCATCAAAGCTCTATGCCCTAGCAGACACTTGAAGCCTCGAAGCCGTCATAGAACCCTTGTAGAAATATCCAAATCCCTTAACTCCCAGCATCCGTACAGTTTCCAGTCACGAAACAGGGCAGCCCTAAACCGTAAACCCTAAACCCTGAAGCCTACCTCGCCCAGGCATGTCCGAGTGTGAGTGCTGAAACCCTGGAAGTGGCTCAAGTTTCGGCTCAAAACCTCCAGGTGCGGTAAGACGGTTACGGCTATGACTTGGCCCACAAAGGTGGACCGGGCATATGTCGTATGCAAACACTGCACGGGCCAATGGATCTATCAGGACCGTATCCACAAATGGCCGGAATGCAAGGCATGTGGGAGGAAGTGGGGCGTCCCCGCTGCACCTCAGCGACACTCCCCCCCCAGGAAGCCTAAGGGAGGAAATGAGGCCCCAAAGCAGAAATGGGGTAAAGCTGGGGGATTAGTGCGCAAGTTGTGGGACCAGTTTCCCATGGATGTGCAAACCGCTTTCCTGGCAGCAGGCTGGCAATCAGGTGTGGTCGACCCTCCACCGGGTCTCTCCCCGGAGAGCCAGGGGGGTCAAAGATCCAGTCAGACCGGCGCTGTATGCTAAGACCAGGAAGCGGTGCACCAACTATGGGAAAACGCGGACCCCATGCAGCGTGAACTCCTCAGCCGGGCGGGCCTTGAACCGCCCAAGGAGCCACAGAAAGGTCTGGAGGAACTGTGCAGACAGTACGCGGCTGATCTACCGCCGGCTGTAAGGGCGGCCCTTACAAGCCCAGTGGAGCCCCCAAAGCCGAGTCCTAAAGATGAACTGTATCAGAAGTTGAGCACTTACACATCGGCGATGCAAGGACTCAAAACCTTGATCCAAAAGAAGGCTGCACTGCAACTTCGGATTGACAAGACCAAGGCCACGTACACGAGCCTGCTTGAAGACATGAAAGACATGTGCCGTAAGGTCGATGATCAAAATGCTAAGGTTGAGGAGTTGCAGAAAGGATTGCAGCATCAGGTGCCGACACCGACTGATTTGCAAGAACCCGGCAAGGGAGTGCTTCAGATAGATGAGGGCCTTCGGGCCCTGGAAGCAGCCGGAGTCACGTTGAGCCCCGAAACCAAGAAAGCTTTCGTGCAGGCCCTTACCCAAGGGGGCCAGCCGGCGAAGGATGACAAGCCGGGGAATGGCGACGGGCCACCTGGACAGGACTTGGCAGCACCAAACGGACCGGGAGGTTTTGGCCCGATGCGCAGTCCCGGAAACCATGGGGCACATCCGTATGGACAGGCAGAACAGGGCGCAGAGTAGGAGGTTAGCGAGGGTGTCCCGTGGAGGACCGGGACTACTGACTCGCAAGTTGAGACGGGGTTCACAAGTAGAGCCTATGCCTTGGAGTTGGCGCCGCTGCTGTTTCCGAGACAAAGCTTGTACTTGACTGGGGAGGCGTCCTCCTTTTCACAATCTGAGGGGGAAGAGCAGATTTCAATGCATCGACCTGAGTCGGCCACTGAAGGGAAGACGGGGACCCTTTGGTGCAAATCATGTGGGGTACTTTTTGCCCCGGCCGAAGAGCTGGGCTGGACCAGAGTGGTCCATCGTCGCACGGTACAGATGTGCGAATTTTGTGAGTTTCACAGGTCCACCCAACCAAGCAGTCAGCGGAAGGATGTGAACACGTCGGAAGCTGACAGCATTGGGAACGGACCGCGGGGAGGCTGTGAGTGGGGTCTGGTTGCTAAGTCAGAGACCCCACGGAAGCAGCGGCGCAAGCGAAGAGTTCGTGATGAATGGCCCAAGCTCCTTCAAATCCTTGAAAAGGCACAGTTGAGTAGCATGGCTGAACATGAAAAGGAAATCGTGGCAATTGTCACTCAATTGGAGCCGGAATTGGAAGAAGGAGACCTTGCCTATTGGCTGTGTGATCGCATGCTTGACCTCCTTGCCCGAGGGGCAGAGGACGCTACGGGATGTGTGGAGGCGTGTAAGGATGTCATAGCGCACGCAGAGACGGGGAGGCGTCCTTCCGTTTTCCACATAGTTAGTGCCAATGTAACTCGGTGGAGGAGTGAGGTGAAGCAATGGATGGCAGATCAACGGGCAGGGGTGGCTTTGGTACAGGAGACCCATCTTCTGGACAATGACGTACCTGCAGCGCACAAGGGTGCGGAGGCTGCAGGTTTCCGAATGTGGATGGCAAACAGCTGCCAAACCGGCCAAGGAGGCAGTAGCGGTGGGGTGGCTGTTCTGGCAAAACGCCACCTCAACTTCCGTTTCCTGGACAGTTTTCAACTGCAGGGTAAGGGGTTTGTGCTGGCAGTTGCCAGATTTGCTGGTTCGGACATTGTGTTCGGCAGTCTTTACCTGGAAACGGGGCAGGACATAAGTACACCCACCAATGCCGCCATCTTGGCTAAATTGGTGGCAACACTGCAAGCCTTGGCTGTGCCGTGGCTCGTGGCTGGTGACTTTAACTGTGACTTGGACACCATTCGGCAAACCCGAATTGCTGAAACCACGAGCGGCGCTTTCATAGGTGCAGGGGAGGCCACTTGCAGCACAGGCGGCCAAATTGATTATGTCTGGGTCCATAGACGCCTCCAGGGACTTACGGCAGTCAGTGTTGATTGGGAAGTTCCTTGGCGGCCGCACGCGGCACTGCGTGTTCAGCTGCAGTGGGGCGTTGGACAGCTACCAATGCTTCAGGTTCTGAAAAAGCCGGCTGTCAGGGCCAAGAGGGAGGCGTCCTTCTCTTGGTCCCCAGCCCCTTTTGTCCGTGTCATGTCGCATGTGCAAATCAACCGTCCCACCCGGTGGTTGGCAGACTTTAGCCACAGCGTTGAGTGCTCCCTTCTGGAGCATGGGGGCGGGGGCAGGGGCTGGAACCTAGCTTGGGTGAGGAAGCCCCTTGCACCCCAGCAGCCGGAGGGCACACAGTGGAAAGGCAACCTTGCTGGTTTTTGGAACCGTCTGGGGGTTTGGTTGGTTTCTTATCCGGGTAATTTCCCGCCAGGGGTTAAGGCAAAGATTAAGGAACACCTGGCCAAGGTGGCCGAAAACTGGCACGACGACAGCTTGGGCATGACGGCTGGGGAGTTTGCGGACAGGATGTGTCACGACTCTCCGGACGCAAGCCGGCCACAAGTGTTGGTCGATGTGGTTAAGGCACAACTGCGGAGTGCAGTCCAGCAGGACACACAGGAACGCAACCAACGGTACCAGGCGTGGCTTACCCAGGCTACGTCTGGTCACATGAGAGCACTTTGGCGGGCACTCAAAACCCATGAGGCCAAAACCCAGCGTCCATACCAGAATCTTGGCTCGGAAGTCCGGAGCCACGCCCGTAGAGCGGGGTGGTGGGAGATTTGGTGTGCTGCGGACACAGGCCGCGACGCTGGTCAGTTGCGTACCCTGAGCACACAGGTACGAATGGCGGCGCAAGCGCAATCGCAGCAGTTGCGGCCTATCAACCTGCAAAGAGCCCATCGCAAGTTCCGAACCATTGCTCGTAAGGCCTGCGGGCCGGACGAATGGACGGCTGACATGCTGAGGGCCCTTGATCAGGAGGCCGGGACTCTCCTAGTTGAAGAAATGATGCAGTGGGAGAGGGAAGGAGTCCTTCCCGACCAACTCACTATGGTGCGATACACACTCTTGCCCAAGTCGGCAGAGGATGAACGGCCCATAGGTTTGACGAGCTACCTCTATCGGTCCTATTGTCGTCTTCGATGGGACCTGTACGCGCAATGGCTTGAAGACTACCGGCGAAGTGCGCCATGGGACCGAGCCCTTCCAGGGCACTCGTCTCTTGACACAGCGCTTGCTAGAACAGCGCGTCATGAGGTTTGCAAGCACACGCGCAAGCATGGGGTGACTGCCCTGGTTGACCTGTCCAGTTTTTACGAACTGGTATCCCATGCAGTCTTGCTGAGGGAAGGTCTTGAGAAAGGGTTCCCACCGGTTTTGCTCAATGCCGCCGCCCAGGTTTACGGCGGAAACCGTTTCATAGAAGCGGAAGGTGTCACTGCAGCGCCAATTCGGACCAGTCAAGGCCTGATAGCTGGCTGTCCACTGGCTCCAGGCTTGAGTAAGATCATCCTGCACAACCAAATGCAGGAGCTTTATGACTCAAACCTTCTCACTCACCAAGACTTGTGGATCGACGACATAGGACTGGATGTAATACATCAGAGTCCAACGCAGGCCGCCATTCGGAGTGTGAAAGCCTTTCGTCTTTTAAAAGCGGCACTGGAGGCGTCCTCCCTGGTTTGGTCCAGGAAAAAGACGGTTTTCGTGTGTACCTCGGGGGCAGCAAAGGCGGCAGTGGAGAGGCTCAGGACGAGCGAAGACCCGCCCATCGCTCTCACCTCAACCGACCTTGGGTTGGATTGTGGCGGTGGCGTCCGCCGCAGAGTGACCAAACACAGGTCGCGCCTCCACAAGGCGACAGGTAGGCAGAAGCGATTGAGGGCCTTGGCGCCCAAAGACAGACGGGTCAAAATCCGGATGGTCAAAGGTTCACTGCAGCCGGTGGGCCTCTACGGCCACCAGGCAACAGGAGTCACACCACGAAGGTTTAAGTGGCTTCGTTTCCTGTATGCTGAGGCTCTGGGTCGCATGAAAATAGGCTCAGTCATTTGTGTGCTGGAGGCTAATGCCGGCCGTACGCGCGACCCAAAGGAAGTCATCATGGCACAGCACATCCAGGCACACAGCCGCATGATGCTGCAATGGCCGCGGGAAGCGGAGGACAGCCTAACGAAGGCTTGGCAATCGCTGCAACAGAGTCTCAGTGAAACCCGTTGGCCTTGGCAAAAGGTGACTGGGCCTTTGGGGGCCATGGTGACTTACCTGAAAGAACTGGGCTGGGAAGCGCAAGGGCCCCGGCACTGGTCAATCAGCGAACGGACGTATGACGTGGCCTCCGCCGAGGGGCTCCATGCAGTGGTGTGGCACCTCAAAAACGCGATACAGAAGCAGAGGTGGACAGCGGTTGCTGCCACGCCGGGAGCAGAGGATGCCGTCAACGGCATTGATTGGCAAGCCGCCAACAAGGCAGTCAAACACCTCGCTCCTCTGGAGAAGACAGCTGTGCAGACTCTGTGGCAGGCAGCGCTCAAAGCAGGACCGGGGGCCTTTTGTCAAAGGTGCCAGACCGAGGCCTCACTCCAACATGTTCTGTATGACTGTGCCATGTGGGTTGGCCAGGCACTGCCTCCTCCGAGTATCCTGTCAATGCAGGCACAAGGCTGTCATACCAGCCTTTGGTTGCGCGGGCTTCCGGCCAAACGCGCCTTCTACGAAGCAGACTCGAGTATGGAAGTAAAAGGGGTTTGGCCAATGCCAGATGTGACGGATGTCCGTTTTGCCACGGACGCCACAGGACCGAAGGACCCGAGAGACGGCCCGGTCATCTGGGGAGTGATTGCCTTTCGTGTCCTAGGGACCAAGAGGGTGATTTGAACACAGGCCGAATCCAAGTGGTGGGGTCCATCACGGGAGCTGTGTCCTATGAACAGACAGTTTTCCGCGGCGAGGCTGCGGCGGTCTGCGAGACTGTACAGGCACACCCTGGAGAGGACGAGCTGGACATCACTTTGGACTGCGAAGGCGTCCTTCGCAGGATCCTCAGGCGAAACCCAGGACATAGTAACCGAGACTTGTTGGACCCGGTTCGGGCCGTCGCACACCGGTTGCGATTAACGTGGATCAACTCACATCTTGGTAGGAAGGCCTTCGGGGCAAAGTTTGGGCATGACGAGGAATGGCGGCGACAGGCAAACTTTGTGGTTGATGAGCTGGTCAAAAACCGCGCCCGGCGCATCGCGGGGCCGACTGTACAAGCAAGTGTCCGGATGTGGGACAAGCAGGTGCAAGAAGTGCTGCAGTTTCTGGGCCAACGGGTGTCTTTTCTCCTCACCGCGGATGAGGCGGACAAGGCAGAGGTCCTGTTCCAACCTAAAGCTGATAGGCCTGGCCGTGGTGCACCCCACGCCACTTCGACCGGTCGAGCTGATGACACCAGGCTCAGTCGTAGGCAGCAGCTCGAGTTGCTCATCCAAGAGAAAATGCGGGGAGGACACTGCTGGCAGGAGGCCCACCGTGGCAGCACAAACCTCACCATTTCCTGTCGCAAGTGTGGCTTGTATATTCAGCAAAATGACAACGCTTGTATCTTCGACAGGAAAACAAGGCAACTCTGTGTTGGTCAAGCCATGGAAGCTCCCCCTGGCATGCACCCTTCGCACAAACTTGAGAGCTTGGGTTCGGCTTTCATTTGCATCCAGTGCAAACGTGTCCAACGCGTAGGGTACCGCGTCCTAGCCCCGGTTTTTGGTAAACTCTGTGCCCCCACCCAAACCTGCAACAGCAAGCTGTCCAAGCAGTGGCGGCAGAACCGGGAAGCGCAGCAACATGCCCCGCCGGCAGGAGCGGGGGGGGGGCAGGGCGGCCAAGAAAAGAAGGGCAGGAAGAAGCAGACCTTTAAGAAAAACTCGGTCAGCGAGGATAGCAGTGGCTTTGTACAGTCACGTCTGACTTTTCGTCCACCGCCGAGGGCTCAAAACAGGTAGGCGGGCAGTAGGTGGCGGTGGTGGGGGCGCTGGTTGGCGTCCAACCGGTGTCCCCCGCCGCCTGTCATGGACGGTGATGGGCCAGCCATCGAGGGCACGCCGTCTGATGACGAGCTCCGGAGGCGGCTAGCTGCCCTGAACGTGGCCCGGGAGGCCCGGGGTTTGAAGCCACGGAGCTTCAAGGAGTTTAAGAAGTCATTCTTCCGGGCTGGCAGACGTACCCGAAAAGGGCTGCTCCTGGAGGAATACCCGCAGGCGGAGGCGTCCTCGGCTGCGGTGGACAAAGAGGCAGTCCTGCAGGTTAGGGACACGTTGCCGCCACGGCCTCCGGCGCCCAAGAGGGCCAAGACGGAGGACGCACTTGAGGAGGTAACCCTGCGCTCAGTCTCAGCTGTTAGGAGGCAAAGGGAGACCGAAGACACCAGCCTCGAGGAGGCGTCCTCCTCTGAAAGCGTCGGGTCCCAACAAGGGCAAGAGATAATTCTGAGGTCCTTATCGGAGCTCAGGGAGACTGCAGGTCAGCACAGGAGCTCAGGCAGCTCCCGAGAGGAGGCGTCCTCCTCTTGGGAGGCAGGTGGCCCAGCACCGAACTACCATGTGCAGGTTGAGGTCCAAGCAAACCGGAGTCGGCCGAAGCTAGCACACCACTGGTTCGGCGAACGGATCACGATTGTCAAGGACCTGGTTCGGGGCCAGCCTTTACAGCAGGAAGTGACCCTGTACCGACTCAGCAAGGGTAACAGCCGGGTGGTGTATGGGTGGGGACAGTTTGTGGTAAAGTTCACCACAGCGGTTTTTGACCACGGTGACGAGGAGCCACTGACGCAGCTGCTACCAGAAGTTACGGCTTCGGTGATCCATTTGGTCCCGGTGGTGGCCCGCATGGGGCCCTCACGGGGGGCCGCCCGGCACATGGTCTTTGCCCTAATCCAACAAAGGGTGATCATGGCTCAGGGCTGGCTGGACAGGTTGGATGCGGAGACGCACCGCCATTGGCACTACTACTTAGCATGCATAGTTGCGTGGCTGAGCAGCAGGGGCCTAAGCCTGGCTGATGTGACCGTTTCCAACTTGGGGCTGGAGACCCAGGAGGGACATCTCCAGCTGTTCGACCTGGCGACCTGGAAGGTCACAGGGGTGGCCAAGTGGAGCTCTGGATCGGGGTTCGAACGGTACCTTCGCGACCGGTGCCCAGAAGTGCTCGAGACGATTCAACACCAAAGGGACCGCGCGCCGGAGCGAATGTTTGAAGTCTTCGTGCAGGAAGCTGGACCTTTTGTCAAACACCTTGTGCACAAAAGGATTGCCAGGATGCAAAGCGGGCGCATGGTGATGTCTGACAACGGGATTATCCAGCTCAATGCGGGAGGCGTCCTCCCGTAAACAATGCCCTTCGGGGCTTGGTCTGAGGCCGCTCCTTAGCGCCTGCTGGCCGGCGTCCGGCCAAGGCTTTTAATTCGGTGCATGCGCGGACGCCTATGGCAGCTGAGAAGCAGCGAGCGAGAAACCCTGGAAGCCTCACAGGAAAGGAGCTCCAAGCAAAAAACCCTCAACCCTAAACCCTAAACCTTTCATCCTAAATCCTAAACCCTAAACCCTAAATCCTAAACCCCTAAACCCTAAACCCTAAACCTGAAAAAGCCTAAAAAACCGAAGGATGCGGAGCTCAAGGCGGCTCTCGCGAACCTTCGCCGCGACCTGGAGGCCTTGTCAAGCATTCTACGTTGTGGGCTCATAGGGTTTCATAATTTGGGGGTTTTAGGGTTTATTGTTAGGGGTTTACGGTGGGCTCTTAGGGTTTAGGATTCGTAATTAGGGGTTATAGGGTTTTGGATTAGGGGTTGGGGTTCATAGTCAGGGTTTATGATTCGGGGGTTAGGGTTCAGAACTGGGGTGTTAATTTGGGTGTCGGTGTCAAAATTCGGGTTTATAACTAGGGTTTAGGCTTCACAACTCGGGTTTATAACTAGGGTTTGGGGCCTTGAGGGTTTAAAGGCTTCTTGTAGGGTTTTTTGGTTGAGGGTATCTGTCCGTACCTCTATAAGAAGCGCATTCAGAGCCTCGAAGAGCCCTAGAAGGACTCTGCAAAAACCGTGCTGTAGGGGCCTTCATAATTAGAATAGCCATTTTTGTTTAAGGCCTTTGCCGTGCAGGGCGTTTCACATGCAGTTGAGGCGCTTAAGTCGGAGGCTAGGCACGGCCTTTAGGGACTCCGGTGGGGTTGCAAGAGCCTTTTTGCTCACATTGGATTACACCCGTTTTTCGCGTCGTCGTAATCTAGAACCTGGGTGTGCCAAGCCTTCTTTTACGCGTAATGCCGGTTCTTGTATTGGCGATAGTTGTGTGTCCTTCCCCTCTGCATAAGGGCCAACGGCCGCGACTGGGTCGACTGTTTGGGACTTGCTGGGGGATCTGCGAGATTCTTGTGATGTACGGGTGGTTCCGCAGGTAGGTTCTAAGTCATGATCATACTTACGTTTCTTTGTCGGATTTCGTGAGCCGTATCAGTTGTCATCTGCAGTTGTGAGACTTGTGTGTGGATCCGCGCCCGCCTTTCCGAGTATGCGTGTCGAAACCCCTGAACCCCCCAAACCGTAGACCAATCCCCCCTAAACCCTAAACCCCTTGTCCTAGTCGTGAGTGCTGAAACCCCTAAAACCCCTAAACACCTAAAACTCCTAAACCCCTAAACCCCTAAAGCCCCTAAACCCAAACACCAAGCAAGCTGACCCTGTCTGTTTGGCGATTTGTGAGGCGCTCCACGAAGCGGAGATCGCGTCGCTGAGAAGCCTCTTTGCCGAGGCGCGCGTCGATCGATCTGGGGCTTAAGCTTTTTTTGTTGGTAAATAAAGGGCTCAAAAGCTAGTTGTTGATAAAGTTTTGCGGTATTCTCTCTTAAAATGGACCGAGGTTTCTATGTTTTTTTTTAGAGTCCTGCACAAGCGTTTAAGGTTGTAATTCGGGTCAATATAAGTAGGGCTTAGGTTTGGAGAAGGGTCGGGGCTTAGGCCCTTTTTCTTCGAGTTTGATTCAGGAGCCCTGTTATGGGTTTAGGATCACGGGTTGAGCAGGAGGCTTCGCGACGTTTAGCGGCAGAAGTTCAGAGCAAAGGCTTATGGGCTAGCGGTGCGGCTCGGGGTGGTTTCATTTTCGGGGTACCTTGCACTGGTGAGGTATATCACACAATCTGAAACATGTTGGGATGGAGCAGGTGATGTGGTAGGGCTTGGCATCAGAGTAGTGCGACGTGTGATGTGTTGGTATACCGTAGTCTGTCGGCCATGCCACACTTCTGTACTATAGGACGCACGCACTCCTGCTCGACATGTGTGGAACATACGTAATGTGCCGAGTATGAAGGGAGGATGGAGAGCAAAACCTAGCGACTCGTAGCTTCGGCATGGCCTAGCACATCAATGCACTGACCGGTGGAGTGTCAGGTGTGTATACGCATTTGTGCAACTCACACACATTTACTGATCCGGCATTTGGCTCGGCACACATGACCTAGATAAGTTAAGATGTTTTCCATGCACATATGTACGTTTGCATGCTGCATAGACGACAGATCCTTGTCATTACGACAGCACGCTGTGAGACAAGCTGCAACGCTACGACACCTCCACAGAATGCTCTTGCACATGTTCACACCCATGTGTCTTAACGCGCAGCTGTGGGGGTGTATGTATGTGTACATCTATATATCTATACTTAGATAGATAGACAGATAGATAGATAGATAGACGTGTCTATATGCATGTATACCTACCTACCTACCTACCTACCTACCTACCTACCTACGTACGTACGTACGTACGTACGTACGTACACACATACGTACACACATATATTTATAGAGAGGGAGAGAGAGAGCATTTACAGACTTACAGACCCATGTACTTATCTATCTTGTACACACTCATACCCTTCACACCCCTGCGTTCGTTCCATTCCTGCTTCAGTCGGTTGCACCCTTTGAGGGAACAGCCGGGTAACAGGTAACAGAGTCTATATGAACGAAAAGCCCAAACCCTCCTCGCGAATCCTGCATGCTACTCCTTAATTTTACAATCTAAGCCCTGCAGCAGCGGGTGCCCAAAACCCGCAAGCCCAAGGCGCCAAAGTTAGGCTCCAAAGCTGAGACGGAAGCTCCGAAACTTTAAACCCCTAAACCCCTACACCCTAAACCCCTATACCCGCCCGTAGCAGGAGAAGAAAGCCCTGACAAAGCAAATTGATGAGAAGGCAGCCAAGCCTCTGAAGTCTTGTAGGATTCTACGTTTTTGGGTTTGGGGTACGTAGTGCAGGTGCCTCATGTGTCTTTCCTGTGGGGGAATTTCGGGTGTAGTGCCTCGGTTTCGTAGTTTACGGAGGTTATTTTTCCTTTGAGGGTTGGAGGTTTCTACGGTCTAAAGCCCGGAGCAAACCCTTCTAAGCCATCTAGTACAGAAGACCTTCTAAGAGCCCACAGGAGCTCCTAGAAAAGGGGCCTAAACCATTACCACTAGTATTCCTGGGGGTGTGGGGGGCGTGCTTGTTAGATTTATAGTACAATGGACCCCCAAGGCCCGATTCTAATTCTTTCGGCCCCTATATTAAAAGCCCATGCAGCAAATTTGGGCCTCCGGCATCTGGTTTTGTAATCTGGATTTGGGGTAGCTCTCTAAATTAGGCTCCTATTCATAAGGGTGCCGTACTATACTGACCTCAAAAAGGACCCTACTTTACAGAGCTACCCCTTTTTTAGGGTTTGCATCGGGCTTTTGAGGTTTGATAAGGGGGTTACTTCTGCGGGATATCTAGGATGTACTTGTGCCTCCTGCAGTGTTTGGGGTCTCTATTGTGGTCCCTTAATTTCTGTAATGGGCATGCCGAGGAGAATCTAGAAAGCAGATCCCCTTACTATGACCTTGGAGGAACCCCGTTAAGGCTTCGAGTTGTCAAGGGATCTACTTGGTGGATCCTCCCGAGGGTTTGGGTAACTCAGGTTCCCAAGGATCCGTTTGGGTGCTTTAGGGTTGCTTTGCGTTAAGGGCGTCGAGTTTATCGTCGTGAGTAAGAGATTCCCGAAGCCGTTAGCCCAAGCAGTCTCAACCAGTGTTTAGGGTTGAGCACGCCTCGGTTCCTCTCCATATGCATAGCCCAGGTGCAAAGGGGTGTAGATGGACCCCCCAACTTAAATTTTTAAGGCGCTAGTTGTTGAACCGTGTGCCCAGGACAGAATCCACCAGTCGGAGTTGGATGCGGTCACCACGGCCAAGGACAGGCTCTTTGAGGAAACCACGCACGAGCTGGAGAGGAAACGAGAGGCTCGGTGGTTGCAGTTTGAGGGCCTATGGCTTAGGGTTTGCGTGCACATGTTATTTTAAGGGGGGCTGTCCCGCTTGATGGCACTTTCTGGGGTTTGTTTTGGTACATGGTGACAGTAATGTTTGGTGAGTTGCATGGTTGCCTATAGGCGGCACCCCGCAGATCATGTCCCAGTGACCCTCAACCCTACACCACAAGTTAACTTTAAAATCGTACCAAACCCGACACAAAAACCCTTGCTAGGCATAGCCCTGGGCCACGAAACCTGGAGTTCGCAAGGCGGAGATCCACGAGAAAGACCGGCAGCACGATGCCGACCTGCGCCCTGTCTCGAAGAGAGGAAGCATAAGCAAGGGCTTTGGGTGGGCTCCTTGAGGCAGAAACAAGTTTCAAAAGTTTTTGATTGGGGGGTTGGGGGGGGGGGGGGG